GTTATGCAGCTCTCTGCACACAGCTCTGTAACGTTCATGCAGATGCCCTACAAACACTCCTGAACACGCTCTGCCAAACACCCAAAATGGTTGGGCTGAGGACCAATTTCTTAATATCCAGAAATAGGAAATGTTTTGGTAGGCTGACAGCAAGCCAAGATAATTTCCAAAACAAGTGATGCCAAAACAATAATTGGATAGTAATAAAGCTAGGAAAGAGGGAGGAAATTAAAAATAAGTTCCAGCTAAAAACATGAGCCTCAGTGCTAAGCAGTTTCAGGATCACTGTCCTAAAGCACAACTAGACTCACTTCTTGTGCTCAAATTTCATCTTGCCTAGCTTTTAGAGGAGCAAAAAGGCAAGAGCTTGGCTGGTTTAGATCTATATGCAAGCTGTGAATTACATGATTCTGACAATAAGGCCTGGCACCGCAAACAGCCTTTGGAGACAGCAGTGCTGGCATGCTCCAAGCTACCCATGGGGTCATTAAGCTGCTGGCCAGGAAGATGCTGGATTCTCATCTCTAGTCTGAGTCTGGCAAAACCCCTCCACAACAGGTGTTTCCTTTAAGATTAGGAGGCAGGGTGTGTGAATAAACAGATGCTCTGAGCTCCTACAAAAATTCCCCTGCCTGTGAAGAGGCAAGAAAGAAAAACAGTTTGAAGATACTTCATTAGCTCTAAATATGTTTGTCTGACTTTAAAATAGTTCAGAAATAAAGGATGCTTACACACACTCACAGCTAAGCATTAGAAAGCACGATAGATGTATCCCAGCTAAAATTAAGGAATGTGATAACATTTATAGCAATATATTACTTGTTAATTTAAGTAACTTTTAAATATATATTTCATCTCTGAACCAATTTTCTAAACCAAGAGGTTATTTTCAGTTGATAAAAAATAACAGCTTTCATTGAAACTAGTATCTTTTTCAGCAAATATTATCTGTATGACTTTTGTTCGCGTAGCTACAACCTTAGAAATGCTTGTTGTTGCTTTCTGGATTTCCAAATTCAGAAGAAAAACCTCTACAGGGAAACCTTGTCTTTTTCTCAGTTGCAGACCTATTTTGCCTCAACTTTTTTAAGCAAAAGGAAAATAAAAATGTAATACTGTACCCTGTACTGTTTTCAGAGTTGAAAAAGTGATGTAAATTACAGAGTAGATCAATGAAGAGGAACGAAAGAAAAAGGAAAAAATTGCTCATTTTCCCCTCCAAACAAGAAACAAAGGGAGGAATACAAAAGAAGTATAACATCCAAATGATGAACAAGAAATGAGAATTCTAAATCTATAATTAAAAGAGAAGACTTTGACCAAGAGAAATTTATGTTTTGAATATTATAGCAGTGAAACAACTTAAAAATATTCATTAAACTATCTCCTATATTTTGCAAGTTTAGCAGTCTTCAAAGCCAAAATAAGGACAAAGCTGTCATTCCTTTGGCAAGGCTCACGAGGACAAATTATGCTGCTATAAGAATGGAAATGAAACAGCATAATTTGTCCTGAGGACACTACAAAGTGTTCAATTTTTGAAGGCTAAAGTTGTGAATTGAAATGTAGGCAAAACAATTTCTTTATTAAAGCACAATTTCATCAGCACAAGGCTCTGAGAACATCTGATTTCAAACTTAATATGTCCAGGAAGACACTTAATAATATCCTCAAAAAAAAACAATTCAGTTTAGCCTTAAAAAGGATGTATCTCTTGAGAAAGCAAGAAATGCTTTAAATACTTTTGCTGACATGCTGTGAAAATATCTAGGCAGAAGTATCTGTTCTGTTAGATAGATGGTGAAAAAGGTGATTCCTTCAGTCATCCCTTCCTTCAATCATTTCCTACACTCACTCCTTAACATCTCTGACAATACGCAGTTTTCAGATACCACCTTCAGCAACAAACACAGGTCTTTATTTCCATCTACGTTAGCTAACATGCTTGTTTTTAAAAAACAGAAGTACAATAGCAAGGTAATTTAAAACACAATCTCATTTTCTTAAGATGCACATGCCCTAAGAAACAAGCATGTCACCTGCTGATTCACCAGATACCACTTAGGGATACCCTGCCTAATTTTGCATTGCTTATATGTTTCAGCAGCAGTACCTGAGGACATAAATGAAATCCAGCACAAAATACTTTTTACGGCAGGGGCTTCCGAAGTGTCATGTCTCACAGGCAGAAATTCAAATATAGAAATATTGAGGTATTTTCTAAGTTATTTAGTCATGCCAGTTAAACAGCAAAATCAGTTTTGTTTTATCATCTTGTTCAGGGTTATGCAGGAAGCCTATGGCAGAGCTGAGATCTCTGTTCCAGGCTTAAAACTTGCACTGCTGCACAACCTGTTCCTTTCCATGTGTCTCTGAAGACGTTAAATACAGATGCAGAAGTACAACGGTGTGACACACCATTATCAAGCAATCAGATCCAGGCAGTTCCCAGATCTAGGTGCAGTTTCTAAATGAAAGTTCTAAGCATTTTGCCATTTCAAAACTAGGACTAATACATTCACAAGAAATAATCACCTATTAATTTAGCTTTAATGTGGTGTAGAAGGCAAGCCTACTAGAGAATACTACTACAAAGGCAGGGCATTTTTCAGTATGCCCAGTCCATATCTGGTGAAGGAAGGGTGCCTGCAGAAAAGCCCACTTGCAAGCCAAAATAATGAAAGTTCACTGTGTTGATTTCCCTTTTTTTTTTTTTCCCCTGAAGAGGTAATTGACACTGATATCGGGTATTTTAATGTTGAAGTAATATACCAAACTGAAATGCAAAGTAGATACACTGTAAATCATAACTCCAAAAGCCAGCTGCTTTTTGTCAGAAAAGGAAAGTTTCTTTTAACTGTTTTCTGAGACTGATATAAAACAATTTATATGACAAAAATTTTTTTGTACCATATGTTATCAGGTATTTCTTAAAGCATAAATTATGACAAATTTCTTTTTTTCTTTTTTTAATGGAAAAGAAGAATTATTCCAGACAAGCAATCCAGCTAACAATAATTCGACTTCTGATGTTTCAGGAAATGAGAAAGGACTCCCCCAGTGGTGCTTTCAGTAACACTAGGAAGATCATTTGGAACACCTCGACATGCAAATTTCTAACACACTCAACAAATACTTGGATTTTGCACTAGCTTATGTGCTTAAACCCTTATGACATTAAAAATTAAAAATGTTGTTTCATAATATTCTTTCAAATATGTTTTTAATCCACACTTGATTTATTTTTGCAAAAGCCTTAATTTCATCAAATTGATAGGACATTTGGCCCCGTTCCTTCATAGGAAAGTGTACAAATTCTGTAGTGGCTTTGTCATAAGCTAAAACATCAGAAGAAATTTCATTAAAATGTGTAGTGAATAAAGTCCTTATTCAGTCTATTAGATATTTAGTCTCTAGAAAGCTCTTTAATTTCATAATCTCCTAACTTTAATGCAGTTTGTATTATTCTGTTTTGTTTATATTTTTGTGTTATTATAAATTATATTTCAATAAAATATTTCTGTCATTTGTGAATATTTTTCAGAGTTATAAATTCTCATGGCATGTTGTAACGATTCTCCTTAGTCCCCTTCCTTTGCTTCCTCATTAGTATGTTGTTCTTAATGACAGTCTTGGACTATTTTCACAAAAATAAATTAAACATAATTTTTTTCTTGATCTATCTGCGATTAAGACAAAGAACAATAAAAAAAATCCTGCATTTATATGGCTGTCACGGTGCTTGACTGCCTCTACCCATGGCAAACAGATAAAAACAAAGACATAAGATAATCTCTGCAAAATTCATTTCCACAGTATAGTAATACCCCATTTATTTAGACTGGGGAGCAGGTAAGTGCCCACAGTGTGCTCATAGTGCTTACCTTCCAGCCGCACAACCAAATAGAAAATGACACTGGACTGAGGAACACAGAAGGGATGTGCTCAAATCTCACTCGGCATGGAGTCAAAATGCCACACAAGCACACGCTCCTGGAGGTGCTTCTGGCTGCTGAAGGCTAGGCATGTAATCATGGCATGAATAACATCTGGGCAAGAGAGAAGAGTGCTCATCTCTCTCCAGGTCATCTGCTGTTGTCCTTGCTCCCTACTGCCTGTATGCTAGTCACAGTACAGATGCACATTCATAATTTTTGTGAGATGGTGCTGGTTATGAGAATGAGAATCTTTAACCTTCAAGTAACTGAACATGTTGTTCCAGGACTGCCTTGAAATAGTGATCATGGACCTCATTACCACAACCCTCTTCTTTCACATTCTTCATTAACAATTATCATTTATTTGACTGTTCATATGGAAATAAAGAAAAAATACAACGAAGAAGGGAGACTGGCTATTTCAAATGCAATTCTGATCATAAAAATCACCACCACTGAAGATAAGAAGCTATCGTCATGGAGACCATTTTGTTTCTGGCTGGCTCATCCCAGATAGCAACTAAGCATCCACCAGCTCCTTGCTTATTACCCACTGCCAGTGGGATGGGAGAATGCATTGGAAAAGCATACAGATACAGATAGTTCAGCAAGTGAAGGCAGAAAAGTCAAAAATCAATGCAGAAACAATAATTCAGCACCTCTCACATGGGGACCAGCCAGTTTGCAGGCCAATTTCAGACAGAAATCATGCAGTTCGGTGTGATTGGTCCTGTTAGACCCAGGTCAGTATGAAAGGTTCTCACTTGCTTTCCAGTGGCGGTGCTGATCAGTCTCAATACACTTTTAGTGGGAGTGGTGATGCTAGAAGTGCATGAGGAAAAATAAATCACAGGAGGGAGTTAATAGCGGCTATAATTTCTTTACATACGATTACCTAATTTTTAGTTCTAAAAAGAATTACATTCGCCCATTTCCGCTTGCTGTCCACCAACAACCTGGAGCGGTCGAACGGGCAGACACGAAGCGGGAAGCGCCACCGGGCTCCTCAGCGGCCGTCCCGCCTTCCCGCCCGCCGCAGCGCGCATGCGCCGCAGCCATCTCCTAGCAACGGGGAAACAGCGGCGCGGGCCGCTGCGGCGCGATCGCCCCCGGGCGGTGCGAGGGGCCGGGGCGCCCGAGGGCAGAAGGGCGGAGCGGCGGAAAACGGCCCGCTAAGGCTCGGGCGTCTTCAGCTCCAAGTAAGCAGAAATAACGCGTTTGTGGAAGTAGCGGTGAGAGTCTTAAAGTCGGAACGGCAACGGGGAAGGTTTCGGCCCCGCTGCGTCTTGCACTGAGGCCGCCGTTGGGGGCGGCGGAGTGCGGAGCTCCGGGCGGCAGCCTGGTTCGAGCCCGCCCCGACACGGCCGGGAGCCTCCAGAAATTGCGGGACAGAGTTTAAAAACACCGAAGCCTGGTTTTAGTTTTTAGCTTGAGAGGTAGATTAAAGTTCCTTCAGCCAAAGCCGAAACCGGCAGCTCAGTGCCTGCTTGGGCAGCACCTCTCCTGGAAGGAAAGCGGGTGCTGTTGCAAGATTTACAACGGAGCTGTAGAGCTTATATAGCTATCGGACTTACGTAGAATTCCTCTGAAACAGTAACGTGACAGGCATGAGGCCTGAAATAGCATGGACAGTAAACGAGAGGGGAAAAAAAGTAGAATAAAGCTTCACATACAGAAGAGTTACCCAAAAGAACGCTAACAGGTTGTTAGGGAGAAAATCTCAGCCTGTTTGATGGTGCTTCAGAGGTATGGGATGTATCTGCAGGCAGGACCTCCAAGACCCAGTGTGGGTTTGCTCACAGAGGAGCATCGCTTGTGTGAGAGAACTCTTGTAACCTTACTGCTGATTGGAATTATCATCTATATAACACTTTAAGTGCTGTATTATCTTAACCAGTGGAAGGTAAGCACAGCTGCTTTCTGTTATTTGTTGGCTGTGAGCAAGCTATCTTTCTCACCTTTGCTGATGGAAATACCAGCATGTTTAGGATTTTTATCGCTGCTGCCATTTTCTGATTATCTCATGTTCTGCTGCAATGGCGAGTGCCAAGATGGGCCTCTGAATCCTTACAGCTCCTACTGCTGTCTGCGTACCTACTGTGTGTACTTCTACCTTACACTGTAATAGACCTTTTCTTTTACCGCTCTATTAAAATATTACAGGCTAATTAGTGAGGATTTAAAATTAAATAACACTCTATTTTTCTGAACTTAAAGATCACAAGTGTGGTAATGACACCATTGAGATGCTTCCAATGCATGCAGGGAGGTGTAAGTACAATTTTGTACAACACAGGAGAGGCTTCATCTCAGGTGCTGTGGTCAGCTGAGGCCAGCTGTGCTTTCAAGAGGTTCTGTTATAATAAATTTGGGAAGGATTTCATAATTAAAAGAGGGGAGATTTAGATGATTTAGATTGGATATAAAGAAGAAGGTGGTTTTTTTTTTTACAATAAGAGTGGTGTGGAACTGGCACGGGTTGCCCAGGGAGGTGGTGGATGCCCCGTCCCTGGAGACACCCAAGGTCAGGCTGGATGGGGCTCTGAGCATCTGATCCAGTGTAGGTGTCCCTGTTCATTGCAGGGGAGTTGGGCCAGGTCACCTTCAAGTTGGCTTTTTCAACTCAAATGATTCTATGAAAAGACTTGCAAGGACGATGTGGGTAAGAGTTGGGTGTTTTGGAGGACATTAGAAGAGCTCCATAACCTGACCAAATGAAGGTAGAATAGAGTTATATTTGTCATCTTTAAATCTATTTTGTTTGTACTGCATATGAATGTTATAGTATGTAGTATGAGTAGAGTATAGGTAATACATGATATGTAGTAGAATTATTTAGGACTATATAGGATGTATAGAATATAGTAAATATATACTGTGTAGTACAAATATTTAGTAATCTACAAAAATATTTTGTCATGTGCTAGGAAAGTGAGAAATTGATGAAAGCTCAAACACAACACAGATACACAGTAAACTACTAAAAACAAACAAACAAAAAAATATCTGTAATTGTCTGAGCAATAACTTGTGCAGCAGCTTTTCAATGAGAGGAGTGGGAACAAAATACCCACTTTTTTTTTTTTTTTTTTTTTTAGATTAAGTCAATTTTTCTTAGACAGTTTCTCAGGGGATGAGGGATTTCACTGAGTCTCAGGGAGACATTTAAAATCACACACATAATTTCTAAAAATGTCCTTCATAGGAGTTGTCACAGCTTGGATTCTCCAAGGATAGACCCCAGTTTTGATATTACTTAATATGTTCATTATAACTTGGAAATGAGCAATAACATGGAGAAATCAAAATTTTCTACTGAGATAAGATAGTTTCTGTTAATTAAGATGATTGTTAGAAATGTCTGAGAGCTATTCTGCAGTTAGGTGAGTGGATAAAACTGCAACAGATGAAATTAGTTGTTGATACATGGGATGTAATTTGCACAGGCAGGAATATTTGGAACAATGCACTTTTCAGTAGTAAACCTGAATTAACTATAATCTGTTGAGGGAATGACCTGTTTACCATATGTGGATAGCTTAGTGAAAATCTTCACTGAAGAAATTGGGTAATAATTAATCCTCAAAAAAGGCGTAATGTCAGTGTAATAAATCAGTAGTGTTCTAGAATTGATTGTGGTATTCCAGATTAGGTTAATCATATCTGAGAAGGAAAGATTTAACAGTCACAGAGGGGCTCTGGGACAAGAAACAAATACGTCTGGAAAAGCTATATGGAAAAAATAATTAAGACAGCTTAGAAAGGTGATAAATCAGAATGTACAGGGAACCATAAAAGAAAGTAGAGAGGATCAAGGCAGGGCATCTTGTGACTAAATTTGTACTACAAGAATGTGGGACTGTTGTATTGAATTGAGTAACACATTTATCTTGTTTGCGTATTTTTTAAGCCTGAGGAGTAGTTGCTTATTAAGTACACTTGACAATCGGACCGGCACCGCAGTGTGCCATAGAATGAAGAGCAGAGGTTTAAACATTTAGGTGGTCACTAAAAATAGGTAGTATTGGTAGAAAGAGCATACCAACTTGTTGTCTGAACATCTTACTGTAGGGAAATAAAAACCCATAACAGATAGAGAAAAACTGACTTTTGGGATTGATTTCACGCGTTTATCAGATATGTATCTGGAAGTAGCGGACTGATCTACCATGGAAAACTTACCAGTGTATTTTATTCTGAGTCCTGTCAGTTGCTTTGTGATTTGCTATCATGTTTGTTAATTCCTGTTACTTCATTTTATGCACATTCATGCACTGTCTCTTGCATTGTACAAATTGATAATACACTGTGTCTCTTCAGCTTAGAGTCACAACAGGCGCCTTATACTCCTTAGGGCGCCTCTAGTCGGACACCAAGCAGTTAAGCTTTAGAAAACAGCAAGTGTGGTTCTTGGGCAGCATAAAAACAGGTAGTTTTGTTGGAGTCTGACAGGCCTGGTATCTCTCTTTAGTTCTTTTTCTTTCCTCTGGCTGAGAGGAATAGGATAAATAGGAAGAAGGAGATGTGATAGTACTTGCAGGAATGCAAAGCTAGACATTCTGTTCTACCTCCTAAAGGGAGATGTTAAAGCTTCTATGATTTGGAAAAAAAGCAGGTGTTGAAAAGCCGGGGAAGATCTCGTCATTGTCTATAAATACCAAAAGGGAGGGTGCAAACAAGTCGTATTTAGACTCTTTTTAGTGGTGCCCAAAGCCAGAACAAGAGGCAGCGAACACAAACTGGAATAAAAGGTGTTCTGTTTACATCAGGAAGTACTTCTGTGCTGTGTGGGTGGCAGAGCACTGGCATGGTCTGCCTATAGAGGCTGTGGGTTCTCCTCCTCAGGACTTGGCTGGACACAAGCCTGAGCATTCTGCTTTGGATGGCCCTGCTCCAGCAGAGTTTTGGGCCAGATGGACACAGAGGGCCTGCGGATCTTGGCCATGCTGTGTTTCTATGACCGTGCACAGATAGTAGTAATGCAGCTTCAGACTTAGAGCCTAAGTCCAGAGTCTGTCAAATCCCAAAGTGGATCACGTAATAAGTAACTAATTGGAAACTATTCTTAAATTCTTCTTTGCTCTGCTTTTCCATGGGAGTAATTGTTTTCAGAAGGGAAAAAAGCCCTTGCTTCCTTGACAAAAGAGATTGGTTCCACAGCTGTCTATGTCTTGAACTTAGTCTTGTACATCTCATATCTTCCTAGCATTTGGTGTGTGTCAGGTCTTCGGTTCTTGTGTCAGTTATTTAAGATTTTAGAAGGCAGAAGATGCAAATGGATCATGTAATGTTTTGTAAATGCTTTGTTTGACTTAAAAATCACAGAATAATATGACCTCTACTTGTATGTAGCAGGATTGTGACAGTGTCAATATGTACCCCATGCAGTAAAGGAAGCATTCATAGGATTTTAATATTTTGACCAGTACAACCACCGTAAGATTTTTCTCATATTTCAAAATGTGATCTATGTTATAAAATAAATCTTTTGTTAATTGCTTTACCTTTTTTATTTATACTATCCATATAATCCACAATCTGGTGATTAAAGTAGCCCAACACCTCACTGGTGAACAAGGGTATTGATGGAAAACAAGTTGAGAGTCCAGTGATACTCCTGTTGTATTGTTTCTGTGGTGTTTTTTTGTTTTGTTTTTTATTTATTTTTTTTTAGAAAAGTCAATTGTCAAAGAACTTGGTTAATCACGTTGGGTAATGCTGCTTCTCTGAAAGAGTGGTCAGGCACTGCAATGGGCTGCCCAGGGAGGTGGTGGAGTCACCAACCCTGGAGGCGTTCAAGGAATGTTTGGACGTTGTGTAGAGGGACGTGGTTGGTGAGGAGTATTGGTGATTGGTGGACGGTTGGACTGGATGGTCTTGTAGGTCTTTTCCAACCTTGGTGTTTCTGTGATTCTGTAATCCAATAAAGCAGTTATCTGTAGTGAAAAGCAGCAATGCTTAATGTCTTGGAAGCCTAATTTATTTATCTTAGTATAGTGACTAGAAATAGGTGGCTACTTTAGGTTTGTGGTGTAGGAAGCAATTCACACTAGCAGGGAAGTTCCTAGAGTAAACCAATGAAAGGAAGTAAGCACAGGAATAATGGTCATCATTATCTGAAGATCTGATGCTTAAAATCTGCTCTACTGGGCTTCTGCAATAAATCTTATGAAAAATGAAGTAACTTTTCCTTATTTTGTTTGAAGTGCTGGGTCATCATGCAACAGCCAGAAGGTTTGAGGGTTCAACTTTTGAACTAAAAAGTCCACATTCATGACCTTCCTTTGAATCATTTTCCACTTATGGGTCAAATGTTCTAGTCACAGAGATGTTATCAGAAACTGTTCCTTCAGCCACGTTCAATAATACAAGGCAGCTGTGTTATATCACGTGCCTAGTTCTGCTCGTGCACAGTCTACTGTGATAGCATCAACCAGACCTGGCTTGGCATGTGGATTCATGTGGAGAAACAGGGTGAAATATTTATCTCACTCATTTGAATGGTCAGCAGCATAAATGTCAATATATGAGCTAGCAACTCTAGGTTTCATTTTTGGTCAGAGGAAACAACGGTCATTTTTGAAGGTGTGATTCACCTGACCAATTTTAGACACTGACCTTAGGATGATCTGCCTTAACGGCTGTTGGATGTACAGGCTAGATCTCCATCCATTATTAAGGAGAGCGACTAGCTGAAGTACTGATGCCTAATTTATTTCTGGTCCTACAAAAAAGCTGGAGGCCCTTCTGAAATTTGGAGTGAATAGTGGGAGAGTTTTGGGGACTGTCATTTTGGAAAGAAGATGTACTTAGACCTCATGTCTGCCTTAATGGCTGGGAGACAGCATCTGATCGTATCGCTGCCCTGAGGAGGGCTGGGAGCAGAGAAAAACAGGGCTGTTTATCTGGCACTGAAATCGGTACATTCCAGGTGTAGGACAGGAAGTGGCACTGAATGATAGCTCCATAGACTGCTCAGCTGTGCACTGCCTACACCTGTTTAGTCAAAGTCCTTTATTACCTCTAGCTCTATATGATTTAAACCATCAACCCTTTCATCTCAAGGCATGTGGAAAAACTACACTCCTAGTAATGAACACAAAGTAGAGAACACTACTCAAATAAGAATATTATTTATTTTGTCCTAAAGATTTAATTAACTGCATTTAATCAGATGTAAATAGAGTTTTAGGTTTTAAAGCATTTTCAGGTAACATAAACCCAACATTTAATTGCGTTAAAAATACAAATCCCACTAAAAATTTTGTCTGATTTAAAAATCTTTAGAATAATAAACTGAGTGAATGATATGCATTCTATGCGCAGTTATAGAGAGAAGTTGACTTATGGACCATAACCTTTAAGAACATGTATTCAATACAGAAGATGCATTTCTAGTGTTTAATATATTCTAGAATACTGTTGCCTCATAGCAGTTGTTGTCTCACTAAAGGCAGAATACAAAGAGCTTTATGGGGACCAAGCTCAACTACAGTTGTTGGCAGAGTACATTGAAATCCAGCACAGAACTGCAGTAGAGAAATAGACTGAAAGGCATAATCCATGGTAATTATCCAGTTCCCCGTGCTTGTTGCTGCATGTGATATGCCCTTTTCAGTATTACTGAGGAACCAAATGCTTCTGAGCATGGGGAGCAACACGCAAATTCCTTGAAAGTATCTTTGGAAGTTGGATGCGCTTATAAAGCATGAAGAAATGCTGCTAAGAGTTCACAGTGTTAGAATATGTACAGTATTTGAATCTGTGAACATTAGTTGCACAACACTTTCTCTTATATGTTAATTGGTCCCTAGCCAAAACTGCAATTTTGAAACACTGAATTGTTCTGTGTCTGTGCGTTCGTACTTGTATATGTGCATGAGTGGAAAGGAGATTGGAACTGAAAAATCTCCGGTCTTATGAGTCTTCCAACCAAGGCTACAATTAGTGACCTGTCTACAAAGTTCTAAACTTCAGATCCATGTTTAGGATGTGCTTCTCAGCTGGATTCATTACTGCTGTGCTGTAGTTTGTTGGGGAGGCCAGTAGAGAACCAGCACCTGAAAAAGTCCAGAGGATTCAAGAGCTCCAAAGTTTCAGGAACCACAATAAACTGTAGCCCTGACTTTTGTAATCAGCCAAGCTACAGATCTTGTTGTGCTAGATGATTATCTCTTGTTGCACTGCAAGAAGCTGTCAGGCTAGGACTGGCTACAGGTGATAGCGTGCTTTCCCCTTGTGAACTACCGAGTTGTTTTTAAGGGATATTAAGAGTGCACGTTTTGTTTTTACATGGTGTTAAAACAAAACTAAGTTTGGCATAACTTGGGCTATGTTCTCTGCAATGTTAGTGCTAGAGGGTCACTTTGTGCTTTACTTTTTGCCTGCAGCTTAACTGGAAGGCTCTCAGATGAAGTTTTGCAAGCCACGTGAAATTAGGTCCACATGGGGTTATTACATCCATATGCTTCAGAAGCTGCTATTAGTTGCAGCTGAGAAGGTCTTCTAGGTTCACTTGCACGTGTGCTAATACGAAAAAAGCAGAAGACAGAACCTGGTGTAATATTTTTTTAAAAAAGTTGTATTGAAATCAGTGAAAATTATACCATGCAAAACTGTTCCTTTGTGCCCACAGACCTGATTTTTGTCCTCTGTTAAATATGGACAGAGAATCTGAATTGAATTTGAAATCCTTTTTCAAGGGAGAACTCATCTGTTCATTCTACAGCTGTAGAGAATGTTGGCCAGCACATAATGTATAGGCAAACATAGGGAAATAGCCTGTTCTTGTGTGATTTATAGATGCAGTCAAAACTGACTTACAAAAGTGCACGTCTTGTTTATCTGTACCACATGACAGCTTGAGCCTGGGACGTCTTGCATCTTTCCTTTTAGCTAGGTGTTTTTTTGATAGATACCTTTTAGCAAATGTGTTCAAGCGTTAGAAAGCTTGTTGTGTTGCACAAATGAAACGTTACTGTTTGAAGGCATGGCTTTCTGTACAGAAATTACGGTGTCAATGAATTGTTCCAGTTGATTAGATGGGGCAAATGAATGTGAAGGTCAGTCTTATAGTTTTCCTCAAGCACTGGTAAACTGATTCGTGAAGTAGGTGAGAGTTTGTCTGTTTTATTTTTCATTTTTGTGTTTTTGTTTTTAGAATGGGTAAAAAAGTGAGGAAGGAAGTAGAGCCTCCACCCAAGGATGTGGTAAGTATATAAACTACAGCATGCTATAAAATAAACATTGCACAATTATAAGCCCAGCTCTACCATCCTTACGTAGTTCCCTACTCTCCTAGCTTGCCCACATTATTCTAAACATGTCTTTTAAAGATAATTCTGTTTCTGCTTTTTTTGGACAGCATACAAACCAAACTGACTGATGTGTAGTTCTTTGAGGAGATTGTTGTCTTTGGCAGGCTTTGCAAGTAGTAATATATGAAACAATCCAGGCTTCTTTTTATTTGAGGAGCAGTATTAGTTTTCCATTTGTAAAAATCAAAAGAAGGTGGGAGAGACCTGAAATGTGCTTCTCTTTTGAACTGTGGAACCATTCCCAAGGATGAAAGAGTTAAAAGCCTATATAAATAAGCAGGGTTGGTTGTTGTTTTTTTTTTTTAAAAAAAAAAAAAAAACTTAATACAAGAGTTTTACAGATACTTTGAATATATGTAGTATATATTCTGCATCTCTTGCAAAGGTATATGGTCTCGAGGAGTAGTTCAGGGTTTTGGTTTTTTGTATCATTAAAATTGGCATATATGGAATAATGATGGTATATGACTACCTTTTTCCCCAAAAAACTGGAGCTTAAATATCTGACACTAGCTAATGAACACTTTCTGAGGGATTCTCTGATGCTGTGAGGTACAGGGAGATCCAAAAAGAGGTAGAAATTTAAAATATAGAAGTCTTATAAATCTTACTGATTTATTCAGAAAGAAGTAAGACTGAAACACTGAATAAACAAAACACAAATTCAGCACCAGGTACTGAATTAATTAATGAAGAATTGTTTCGTTGGATATTCCCAGAAAGAGCACAAAATTAAAGGCAAAGCTCAGTATGTGTGGTTTTGTTTTGTTTGTTTTTAAACAACCACAAAAAAAGGGCTTTCTGAGAGTAAAGGAACTGGAAAAGGTTTTTCAAATGTCATAGCAAAGTTGATCAGCAAAAATGACGTCGTGGTGTCAGTGCTAGTTCAACATAAATGATTTTGACCAAGACAGTAGAAGTAGCCATTATGGTTGAATTCAAATGTTCAAAGCCATGATGTCACTGAGGTTTAGTCTGAGCTTACACAACGTATGGGAACAGCTGAATGACGGCCTGAACCTCTGATTGATCACCTGAGGCGAGCGCTGAGTCAGCCATGGAGCACAGGTGAAGGCAATTCTCCTGTGCTGCCGGAAGGGTGGAGCCTGGCTGCACCTCTCCTAAGGCCCATTTAAGAGCTGACTGCCAGGGGGGAAGGAGCTCTTCTGGAGATCCCTCCTCTGGAGTTCTGCAGTGAGCCCAGGATATGGGTAAGCATTCTACCTATTCTGTTTTGTGTAATAACCTGCTTAGCCAAGCTCTCTGGTATGATTCATAATTATAACATCTATGCATTCATTGATTATACACACAACTATTCTGTGGAAAGCTTAATATTACAAATGTAGTTCATAAGCTCCAATCAATTGTAAATGCTTATGAATGGAGACTTGAGTTAAAACTGTAACGTGAGGTGTTAAATTGGCCTAACACTAACCCAAAAAACAAGGAGACAAAAGAAGATACATATATCTAAGGCTAATTAAAGCAGACTTGAATAATTAAACTGAATATCTTTTCAGTCTAATAAAAAAGTGGAAAGGCATAATAATGGATGTAGGGCCTACAGATATGCTACCCCCTTCAAAAATAGTAGAAAGAGACTAGTAATCATCTAGAAAATCAATTAGAAACAGGACCTTAGCTCCTGTATTTGGAAGCCACCGTTTAGAGTTTCTGAAGAAAAGACTGGTGCAGCCTTCTACCAGTGCAGTCAACTGTGAATAATGTTAGGAAAGATATTAAACAATTGGGGAAAAAAAAAGTAAACTTACAAAAAAGGTTAATAAAACCACTGAAAAGGAAAGCGTTAGAAAGAGTGAACTCCAGATGGCATCTGTGGTTTCTGGCTTAGATACTTACTCTTATTGTACTTCAAGCTAGCATTTCTCTTCTAGCAGTACTATCAGGAGAAAACAACTGAATGTTGTATAGCAAAACAATATTAAATATGAATATAGATCCTTGATTAGTTTTTACTATCAGCCAGGAAAATCTTCTAGCTGTGAGAGTATTGTTGACACCAATCATGTAAAATCAAATTTCAAACCTTTAAATTTCACCTGGCAGGAAATGAGATGCAGACAAATCACCTGATATATTGGCTATTATTTTCTGATTGATAAACTGCTTATGGAAATGTTACACCTGAGAAAAGAAGCCTTGAGAAAATATGGACAGGCTTATGTAAGAGGGCATTGCGTAATTCTCTGAGAATACATGATACTGCAGATGATAGCTGATCTTTATAGATTTCTAGGAATAGGTAGAAAATACATCTCTTAGCCTAGCCAGTGCTTAGCTGCTTCAGAGAGTACTTCTGAGAACACTTTTTTTCTCCCTCTTTTGTATGTTGCTTTTTGCTATTGTCTGTTTTGGGGGCTGGGTTTCTCCAAGAAAAACAATCATTTGGATGTCCTTCTCGCTATGGGTGACCTCAGATGATATTTTAAGCAGAAAAAATGTGTTAGCTTTGGCATAGGTCAGTAAGAACTTTTCATAACCAAAGGCTGCTCCAAAAGTAGTGCCTCCTATTTTATGATGTTGGCCCACAGTGTCAGAGGTGGATGTTGGTGGTATGGAAGTAGAGGTTGAGTCTTCCTACCAGTATCCTGTTATGTTTTGTTGCCATGTGACAGATGGCAGCAGAGGGACAAGTCTGACAAAATGACATCTGATGTGGTAGTGTGAATGAAGCAAAGGTGTGGAATTGAATTCCTCCATGTGCAGAAAATTGCACCCATTGGCATTCATTGACGCTTGCTGAAGATTTATGGAGACCCAAGAGTGAATGTTAGCACGGTGAATAGGAGTCTGCTGTACTTCAGCAGTGGTGGCAGTGATATGAAAGACAAGCTGTGTTCTGGGCGACCGTGAAGAGTTTTACAAGCACAGCATGCAGGCTCTTGTTTATTGCTGGTGATCATACATAGCTAATGGTGGTGTCTGTGTTGAAAAATAATGTTTTGTAGCTGAAAACTTTCTTTATCAAGTAGTGCTATTGTGCTCTTTATATCTGATGTAGTTTCCATGAAAATAAGTAGGAAGTATTACTTTCAGAGCAACCTATGTAGATAGTGTTTTAAGTTTGTTCTAGTCAACACTGTTATTTGTTCATCAGTTAGGCTTTCTACTAACACAAGTGCCCTAAGGTTGCCACTAGAGAAAATACTGAGATAAAAGAAAGATGTAGCTATCTGTGAATTTTTGAAAATAGCTTCACTTGTGACACTGATGTTAAAAATCAAAGTATGAAGGAACAGAAGTGGTACTGTCAGCTCTGGATGGGAACACCTTTTGAGGAATCAATACCTAAATATTAATTTGACTTTACTAAGGCTTTCAACACTATCTTTCATAACATCCCCATAGACAAACTGATGAAGCATGGACAAGATAAACAGACAGTGATGTGAATTAAAAACTGGCTGAGCTGCTGAACTCTGAGGGTTGTGATCAGCAACGTGAAGCCCAGCTGGAGGCCAGTTGCTCCTGTTGTGCCCCAGCGGTTAACCTCTTCATTAGTGACTTGAGTGACAGGACAGAGTGCATTTGCGGCAAGTTTACAGACAATATGAAATTGCTGGGAGTGACTGATGCACCGACTGGTTGTGCTACCATTCAAAAGGTCCTCAAGAGATCAGAGGAATAGAGAAAACAAGAACTTCAGTAAGTTCATTAAAAGCAGGTGCAAAGTAGTAATCTGTACAGACTGGGTGATGACCAGCTGCAAAGCAGCTTTGCAGAAAAGCACTTGGTAGGCAGTAAGTTGACCATGCGCTAGTAATGTACACTTGTGGCAAAGGAGGCCAGTAACACTGTAGGGTGCAGTAGACAACGTTGGCTTGGCAACTTGTGGGACATGACTGCTATCTTTCACTCAACTTTGGTGAGATCAAATCTAGAGTGCCATGTCCAGTTTGGCGTTCATCCAGTACAGCAGTCACATGGACTCACTGCAGCAAATCTGGCGAAGGGTCACAAAGATGCTGAAGGGCTTCTGAGGTGAGGCTGAGAGCCACAACTGTTCAGTGTCGAGAGAAGGCTCTGAGGGGTCTTGTCAATGTGTATGAACAGCTGATGGAAGGGAACGAAGAACTCAGCCACACTCTTCTCAGTGGCGCTTTCTAGAAGGGTGAAAGGCAATAGGTACAAACTGAAACTCAGGAGATTCTGTTTAAAGATGAAAAAAAAAGCACATCTCTTTTACTAATGGATGATGGAACACCGGTTCATTTCGTTCAAAAACAGCTTTTAAAGGATATTTTAGAAAAATAGCATGATTAAACAATAGAACAAGAAGAGATGCATCTTTCAAAAGGTGGGATCGGCCCACAAATGAGTCTAATAAGAAGGTGCTGTCACATTTCTCATAGAGTAGGAATGAATCTAATACCTATACAAATGTATAGATGTAAGACCAGTTCGATTCTGCCTATATGCCAACCTGCAATTAATGTCTAGGACTTATCAATGAATTGTAGTTTATACAATTACCTGTAACATGGGAGGCAAAGAAAATGGGACAACATAGTAATATTTTTATTATTAGATCAATGTAAATAAATAACTGAGATTTAAAACTCTTACTTCATATTTCATTTCTTATTAACCTTTATCTGAGATCAATCTTTAAGTTTAATTTATGTTTCCATGAAAGAGTATCATCCTTTAATAAAAATTAAAGTTTCATACTATCACCAAGTGTTTGGCCAGACATGGCCCTGCTGTTGCCAGTGAAGTTTCTGCAGGGGGTTGGATTTGACTTTGCCTCTTTATATATCACTTTTCATTCAGAGCTTAATGTAATTAAATTGTCTGCAATTGCCTGGGAGAGCTATTAGGAATCCATTTTGAACTGTAATATATAAAATGTATGGTAACTTATTCTTTTATTATTTATATTTTTACTTTATAGAAGAATAACCAAGCCCTACAACCAATAGAGATAGAGAACATTTTCATCAGTGCAAAGGAAAAAGGGCACGCGAGGTGTGGCAGGGATTCTGCTCTGTGGCAGACTGCTTTGTGAATGCCCTTCTCATAGCTTCAGCCCTTGAAGTGCCCTACCAGATGTGTACCCTTGTGGAGCAGCTGGAAGGGAATAAAAAATTGTAGCTGGGAAAAAAAAATAAATTCTCTTGCTAGAATAAAAAACTGCCCCAAGAAGCTTATATCCTGTACATATTTAAGAAATATTGACAATATATCTTTGTTGGTCATAGAGAAGTAGTATGTATTCAGCTAAGCTGAACAGACATGAATTTAGCATCAAAAAGGTATGACCTATTTGGCCTCTTAGTAGTTGTTTTGTTTTTTTGTTTTTTTTTTTTAATTGAAAAAGGTTCTGCTCTATATGTTTAACTGTATCCACGTCAGTACCAATTTGCTGGTAGAGCTTACCCACCCTGATAAAGCAGTAAGAGTTTAGATATAGTCCTAATGTTTTCTGTTAATGAAAAATCTAAAAGCAAAAATTCAGTCTAGATATGTGTGCACTCAGCTTTCCTCTTCTTGTACTGGAGAGGTAGCATGTGTTCATCTGAGTTTAGTTAATGACTTCCTCAACTTGTCCCGTGCCTTCACCTTGTCACAACAAGCATGAAGAGGGACAGATCTGCATATTTCCAAGACCTGCTTGGGGTTAGGGAGAGCAGTTAAGCACGTTGGCCAGGTAACCGTTTTGCTATTAGGGAAACATGGATCTTCATAGAATCGTAGAATCCTTAGAGTTGGAAGGGACCTTTAAAAGTCTCATCTAATCTAACTCTTCTGCAATGAACAGGGACATCCAGAGTTAGATTGGGTGCTCAGAGCCTGGTTCATTCTGGTCTTTAGTGTCTCCAGAGATGGGGCTTCCACCACCATCCTGGGCAACCTGTTCCAGTGCCTCACCACCCTGACTGTAAAAGACTTGTACCTTAGAACCAACCTAAAGATCATCAGGGGTTATCATGGAAATGCTTCAGTGTGTGCAAGATTGTGGTAAGCTAGTGTTCAGCAAGTGAAATGAGTTGATGAAGGCACAGGAAGAGTCATTTTAATTTATTTATTTCTAATTACTCCCACTAAGTAGTAGTGCCACAGAGTAACCAAATCTTACGCCTCCCCATATTTGATTTGGAAGCTATAGGATGTTCTTTAGGTGTAACAGAATTGTGTAGTCTTTATCCTTCAAAGAGATATACAGGGAACTGTCAGGGTTTTCCCCAAATCTTCATACGACATGAAACGAGGTGATTGTATTAAGTCAATTATTCTTAGTTATTTTTCAAAAGCATTTCAGATTGTTACTGAAAGTTAAAATTCTCCATTTATTGATGAAATGTGGAAGTCTACTGCAGCTTACCGCTATTCTTCCTTTTTTTGTTTTTGCTTTTTTCCTAGTTTGAGCCTTTACTGATTGAAAGCAAAGCAGCAGCAACAGTTGTACTAATGCTTGATTCTCCAGAAGAGGAAGTTTTGGCCAAAGCATGTGATGCTATATATAAATTTGCATCAAAAGGTCAGTCCTCAGCGCAGTAAGCTTTCTTCTGCCTTACTCAGCCGTTCAGAACTTTTTGGTTTCCTCACACTAACGTTTTCAACCTCTGTCAAAGTGTTGTTTTGTTTTTCCCTCAGAAATATGTCACTCCTGTATTTGCAGTAAAAAAGAAGCCCTATGGTTTGTATGGAGGTTTCTAACATTTTATTATAGAAATTTATATTCTCAGAGAAATGGTTGTTTGAAAGTTCTTGTATCTCAATGAGATGCATATTCTGAAAGGGAGGGAAGTAGCTATAAACTGCATCTCCTAAATCTTGCTGGCTCTCTCCCTGCTGTCCACAGTAACGCAGAAAAGGTAGGCAGCTTCCCCCTTAGTTCATTTTAAAATGAATTATAAAAGGGAGAAAGAATACAAGTTGATCTTGGATTTTGTTTCTTTTTTTTTTTTTTTTAATTCACTTTTGCATGTGCGCTTCTTTTTCTTCTTTTCTTTGAGTGAGCAAGGAACAGAAAGCTGTAATCATATGAAACACTTCTGTTGGTAGAAATCTCAGGTGGAAGTTAGTGATTCAAATCATGGTAGTTGCTTCAGGAAAGTAAATTTGGAAGGCAAAAAAATAGGAAACTAAAATGAGGTTCACAACAACATAATTCACCTGTACTTCACCAGATAGAAAGCTATCTGTTGTACTGCTATGGTAGTCGCTAGTAAATGTGTGGGTGGCCAACAGACAGAGGCATCCTTTGCTGTAAAAATAGGAATTAATCCTAGAGAACTGTTCCTATGCATTGAATTAGAAATCCAAAGTGTGTGATGATGTTAGACTATCCATTACACATATTAAGAAGAGTTTGATTTGAATAGTCAATTTTAGTACTGGAACTTCTGGCTTCTGAATGCTTTTTCTTTCTTTAATGTTTCTTAAAATATTTTTTTTTTCACTTTTTATTATCACTGTTTATTTTATCACTTTTATATTAAGTATCCAGATTGAGACAAATTCTGTTGTAACTGGTGTAGCTTGTGAAAGGCATGCGAAAAGAGATTAAACAGATTAATGGTCCTTGATAATGTGATGATGAAAAGCCAACCTATATCCTTCCCCATCACTTGGCACAGTAGGAACAGGTTCTTCCTTATTTCTCTCCAGAGATGTATGGGATCACTGTTTCCCCTGGTGATCTGTTGTGTAGTAATGTTATCTGCCCAGTTACCATGCCAGCGAAGCACCTAACTTTCAAGGCAGTCATTTTGGATTATCTGTAAATTCATTTAACAGCAAGTGTTGCCAAAACTAGTAAAAATAGTCTCTGCTGCTACATAGCAGCAAGGGCAGGTTGCTCTGCAAGGCAAAGGAAAGCAGGAGTCAGTGACAGCAGAGCACACAAGGGCTCATGGCCTCCAAAATGGGTGCAGTCCCATGAGTACAGTGAGAACGCATCCCACAGTGGTAACCAGTCAGTCAATGGTCCAGTGGTCACCGAGCAGTCTGTAGTGTGATGAGGCAGGTTTGAGGTCAAGCCAAGCAGTCACATCTGTGGTCAGGGTCTGGATCAGTGGATACATGTACAAAATGAAGAGCAGGGGCTTGACTTAAATGCAGTTCCTGATAGAAGTGGTGAGTCCTTGTGTAAGGCTTTTTTCAGAAGGGAGTGAGTCCTGATACATGTTTTCAAACTTTTTAAGGTAATACTGAGACCTAGAAGTTACTTTTGTTCTGTTGGAGACCGAGATTCTGTTTTACTGTTATGATCCAAGAAGGAGATCAATGTGACATCAGATCCATGAACTACGTTTTTAAAGTGTGTGTTTGATATATTTTGTTTGATGCTTTAAGATCTTAAGATCTTTTTGATGGTATCGTTGATGTATTCTGACAAATTTATGTTCTACCTATTATATTTTAGGTCACTGAAATACTTTTATACTTTGTTACATTAGAACTATGAGCTTGTTGCTTTTTTTTTTTTTTTTTTTTTTAACCTAACTCTTAACCTATTTACTCTTCAGGTGATGAAAACAAAGTGGCACTTCTTGGTCTTGGAGCAGTGGAACGTTTGTATAAACTCATCTCACATGAAGATCCAATAGTACGCAGAAATGCCATGATGGTATTTGGTATCATGGCTTCTAATCGTAAGAGTCTCTGTATTTTTCCATGTATATGGTTGTAGCTGTTACAGCAGTAGGTGGCTCATATAAAATAAATAAATGTTAAATAAAAAAAATTCCTAAATCAGTAACTCAAAAGAGTTACTGATAAAAAACTGAAAAGAAGAGATTTCAGAAAAAAAATAAATTGAAAGATAAGTGTAATTTTCTCCAGTCATTATTTTTGCTTTGCCAGGATGAAACTGGAAGAGTTTACTATTGGAATTCTGCCTATCTGAGAATGCCTGACTACTTATGATACCCAGCTAATGTGGATATGAAACATTCTGAACTTTTACAAAAATTGGAAATGAGGGATAAAATGCTATTTATCACATACAGAAAATGCTGCATTTACTGAAGGCATTGGTATAGCTGCAACAGTAGGAGAGAAAATGCGTTAGATCCATAGCATCTAACTCAAGTATCAGCAAAAAGAAATCCTGAACTTTGAAGCACTGATATGCATATTTGCCCGACTTCTTTGGTGGGTCAGTGCTGCTGTAGGCGTTCATTATCTGTATCTGAGCTACTGAAGTGGAAATATCTCAGACATCTCTCAAACATTTCAGTTATGGCAAACTTGCGTATCTAGTATAGCAGTACCATTATTAGATGTATTAACCACAATCTAATGTTGCATTGGACCTTATGCAGAAAAACAGGCAGTGATGGCTTGAAAATTAAATAAAGGATGGATTGTTTTTAGTTTGATTACTGTAAGGAAAAATATTTTATCTATTCACGTGTAACTTGACAACTAAAACTATGTAATGTATAGCAAGAACCTCCTAGGTGCAAGTATTTTCAGTGGGAAGTATTGAGGAACTTTTCATCTACAAAATAACAAAGAATGTCATTTGGTACTTTAAAATCTCCTGTGTGTTTTCTGGGCCCGTTTTCTTTGTTTAACTTTGGTTACATGTCAGTCTCAATCAGGTCTTTTTGCCACTTGTGGAGTAACCTTAAGTACATTTCCCTTGGAGCAAAATCTGTTTTTTCACTTGCTTGCCAGATTAAAGACCTCACAAATTTATTTCATTGTAGATGATGTCAAGAAGTTACTCAGGGAACTGGATGTCACAAGTTCACTTCTGTCACACCTGGTACCAGAAGGTAACTTCCAGTATTCCTTGTGCAAAAATACTCTCAAAAAGTATTTGCTATTGCTATTTGACCAAGCAGTTTAATAAAATTCTTCTCTTATGATTTGCCATAATACATATTAAATAGATGATCGATTTTATAGGCAGAGATCAGTTATTCATTGGGTAATGTTTTGTGTTGTACAGATAGAGCAACATGTTTATGGAGAATTGAGATGCAATTAACAGCTAACGTTTGTTTATTTTTTTTTTACTATATCTTAAACCATAGATTTGTGACCATGTACTGTGCTGAATAAACTTGAACAAAAATTTTTTTTTCTTATAGAAGATGTGGTTATTCATGAATTTGCTACTCTGTGTCTGGCACATATGGCTGTTGAATATACTACTAAAGTACAAATATTTGAGCAAGGTGGATTAGAACCACTTATAAGTCTACTAAGTAGTCCTGACCCTGATGTTACGAAGAATTCAGTTGAATGTATTTATCTCCTGGTACAGGTAAAGTTTATTGATTTAGGGAAAAATAAAAAATAAAAAAATTACAGAGGCAGATGAGCATTTCCCTGTGGGGTCAGCAATCTTAAAATATTTGGTTCCTTTACTCTCCAGCACTCATCAGTGGGTATGAAAACTTCAGTTGTCGCATGAACTGTGAATATTGCTGATTTGACCATACTTATGTCCAACTTAATGCAATTATGCATGCTGTACAGCAATGTGAGATCAGAATCAGATTCAGATGTTTTCAATTAAATATGTATTTGTTTTTCTTATTTGGAAAATAGTAGTCTTGGTAATGTGAGTTATAACCAGTCTATCTAAAAGGTTGGAATAATTCTAGAACTGTATTAGTGATTTCATTATGCCTTGTTTTGGCCAGTAAGTCCATAGTTACGCTTGTGAACATCTTTCTGATGATAGGTGGGTGCTGTCAACAGCTACTTTCCATACTAGAGGGATAGATTCGTTATTGGCTACTTTCACACTCAGCACTAATGTCATCCATATGCTGCTTAGCAAAAGAATCGTGCATTTGTATGTCAGTTCCCCTGCAAAGCTTAAGCGAATCAATTCAATAATGGATTCCGTTTATAACTCTATCTCTTTTGGGGCATCAGAGCATGTCTATTCAGAATCACATTTTTACTATCTCGCTGTCTTTGTTGCAGGGTATATCTGGATAACTGCACCTGGTGCTTGCTTATATTGATAAGGATAATTGCATGCTGCACATGTGCAGTGAGCTATTTAAAAGCAAATTGTAATTTATTTATATTTTTTCTATTTTAATATAATCTACTACTTTCTTTTTATTAGGCAGTATATTGTGTAAATTCAAAAATTTTAATCATTGTTTTATAATTATTGAAGGAAAAGATGTAACCAGGCAACCACAGCGTAGTGGGAAAAGTATTTTTCCTCTCATTGAAATAAATAAAAATTATGAAACTAAATTTTTAAAACTTTCTTAAAAAATAAGTATGTTGAGATAAACATGGCAAAACCAAGAGTAAACTGGCTTCTTTAGCTAGAGCTAAATATTGTAACGTATACTCAGTAGCACAAAAAATGTGGATTTTAATGTAATGTGGGGGAGATTGTACTAGATTTGGTTCTTGGACAAAAAGAGAAGTCTTTAGAAATGCAGGTTCTTAAGTATTGACTCCTTTTTGTATTTTTGAAATTAGATTTTTGATGTTCTTTCTGTAAATTCAGGAACTACCGTACTGATTTATTCTCTATTGCTAACATTCCTTGTTGAATATTTTACTACAGGATTTTCAGAGCCGTGCTGCTGTTTGTGAACTGAATGTAATTCCACCGTTGCTGGATCTACTGAAATCTGAATATCCTGTTATTCAGTTGCTAGCCCTTAAAACCTTGGAAGTAATTAGCAAAGACAGAGAAACAAGGATAATACTGGGAGAAAATCAAGGATTAGATTGTCTTCTGAAGATACTGGAAACCAATGTATAGTTTACTTGCCACACAAGTTTTTTTTGTTCCTTTGCTGCTAATGTTTGTGTGACTAATGAGAAATATTGTTCATGTTATGGAAGAAAGATAACAGAAGAAATAGCTCCTTACCTGGAGCTAGCTGTAATGGAAACAAAATAAGCAAGGATGCCCAGCTTGCTATAAAAAGCAAAGGGATTTGAAAAAATGTTTGTGTTTGTTTTATTGCCTTATTTATGATACTCTTTTCTGTTTGCTGTCCTTTCTCAAATGGTTGTAAATATCAGACGGATTTGCCATATACTTTTTCATATGATGTTTTCTTTAAAATCTTTATTAGATGCGAACTCTGGTGTGGTTTGCAGTTTGAATACTGACTTTGTTTGCTGACTTTCCTATGATATCCATACCTTTAAATATAATTTCCTTCCTTGGAAATGCCATTGTTTATGTTATTATGACACTCACTATAGTGCTTCTTGACTTCACGTGTCAGTCACCAGGGGAAATATAATGCATAGAGAAACTTGTGAAATTTTTGAAATTCTAAGATGTCAGATCCTTTCTGAATATTTGCCTAACCCACTTAGGTATAAGTGAGAAACATTTTGGGTTTTTTTAGAGTTTTTAATAAGCTGCGTCCTAAAGCACATCAAAGAAAGTATGTATACAAAAGATATAAAAATGAAAAGATATAATTTGTACTATAAGCAAACAGTCTAAGAGAAAGTTATGACAATTATCCTCCAAAGTTAAAAGCCAGAGATATTTTAATTGTGGTTTTAAGGATATTTGTCTGGGCTTTTTTCCTCACTAGGAATTCAACGATCTACATGTGGAAGCTCTTGCTGTGCTGGGAAATTGTCTTGAAGATGTGCATACTATGCAATTGATTCGGCAGACAGGAGGCCTTAAAAAGCTACTTTCATTTGTTGGAGTCTCTACTGTTCCTGATATTCAGAAGAATGCAGCGAAGGCAATTGCCAAAGCAGCTTGTGATTGTATGTGACTTTTAAAAAAAATTACGTATATGAATTTGTTTATAAAGTAAATTTTTATCCAGAATAAGGTGATCTTCCCTGGTTGAGGACAGTACTTTTGCAAGTACATTGAGTAATGTTCAGATATATATGTATACTTTTAAAGATTAACTTATTTTAAGATTAACATTTTTAAATGTAATGTATTCTTGCAAAATGCTGTCTTCAAACAGGAAAATATGAAAAAATACGTAGATCTGAAAGTATGGCTTTCGTCTTTTGTTCAGTGATACCAGGTAACTTACATCTTAAAGCACCTCTACTGACCTGACTTCTCATTGATATCAATTAAGACGTAGCTGTAAGCTCAGTTCCCCTTGTGTGCAACTGCTCATCTAAGCATCCGGCAATTGGATTTTAGGATATCAAGATATTGGATATTAGGAAAAAAATCTCAGAAAGTAATGGTAATGCATTGGAACAGGCTGTCCAGGAAGATGGAGTCACTGTCTCTGGATGTTAGGGACACAGTTTAGTGGGCATGATGTTGATGGGTATTTGTGATTTTAAGGAACTTTTCCATAATTCCATGATTCAGTTTCAAGTACAAATTCCTTTAATGAGGACATGAAAAAAACATTTTGAATGGCTTGCAGATTAATATTTTCAGCAGAGTTAAATGGTTTCATTGTAATCTTTTTATAATTACTCATCCTATGTTTTTTTATAGACTTTTCTATAATTCACCAAGGAATCCTGAATTAGGTAGTACACACTCATCACTTTTTTGCCCACAGTGATTCTTTTTAAATAAATCTGCTTTTGAATTTCCTTCTTTACACTGGTTTCTGAGTTGAAATTTATGCCTAGTACTGCTATGTAAGAAAATGCAGTGTAAGAAATATACTTCTATCTTCTGTAAATTTTATCAAGGGATTTTTTTAACAGTAACAATGACTGCAGAAGTTGAATATTTATATTTCATTAAGTTATGGTTTTAATTTATGTGTATTTTACAAATATCTGATTTAATACACAGCTAAAATTATCTCTCCTTTTTACAGTTCAGACCTCCTTTCTTCTTCATCTTCTCTTTCCAATTCTTTTCTCACCTTCCTTAGTTTGACTTCCTGAATATTTGTAATTATGTGGATTGTAAATTATATATTAAAAGAGTAGAATCTACCTTTCCTAGTATTCTGTGTTTCAGTATGCTTTTATCTTTATCTGCTGGAAGCTTTGCAAATCACAAAAAATTATTTTCTTTAATGTTTAGATATCAAAGATAGGAAGGAATCTTCTTATGCCAGTGTTTTCTTTGTGTATTTTTCCAGCATTGTTATTTTATTATGCTACTTAGGACTGTCAGTATCATTTTTATAGTCCTGTGACAGTCTTGTAAGTAGTATGCTAAGCAGATTTATATTTGCTCCTACTACTTTCTATCGCATCTTCATCCTTTTCCATATTTATTTTCAAATAAGCATAGCCTTCTCCCTCTTTCACTCCTTTTTCAGTTTTTGTGGCCTAATATTTTAGCAGCTGTTAGTAGAAGCATGTCTGAACACATTTTTAAAGTGCAGTGGCAAGAAGCACACATAATATATTGCAGTGTGGCATATGATCTTATATCATTGAATGTTACCGTCAGCAAAGATGCATCTTCTTGTCATATATCTTTACAAATGGAGTCAGCGTGGTTTCATTATAAAGGTTTGCTCTCTTCTTCAGCCTATGACAGTTGGTATGGATGGAGCAAGCTGGGAAAATAGATCAGAAGATTTAAAATATTTTCTTCCAAGCTGCAGAGTTTTGGTGACAACCAGTTAGATAAAGGACAACATGTAGCGGTGCAGTATGAACACAATCCAGTTGCTGTTCAGCATGACCCCCAGAAATACTGAATTTATTTCAAATACCTTGAGCTTTTGAGGTTTAAAGTCAGCCTTCCAGTGGAAAGAAAAGTGATGCACTGAGGCTGTCTAAAAGAATACCGTAAAAGCAAAAAGAAAGCAAATATTTATCCCAATATGCAGATGGTGAGTTTTTCTTTTTCTTTTTTTTTTTTTTTTTCTTTTTTTCCTGTTTGGATCATGGTTGTAAATAAACCAAAAGGCCAGTCTAAACAGCAGCTCTAATTTTTACTGTGCTAATACTTGATTCATTGTAAATCCAATATGGTAAAACATAACTCTTAAGTTCTTATATGATTTTTTCATTATACTAACAGTAGCTATACAGAAGCCTCATTTTTCAAGTTTGAAAATTGCATTTTATGAATATTTCTTGCATACTTGAGGGAAAAGACTGAACTTCATGAAATGAAAAACTGTACTTCTAGGATAGTGCATGACACTTTTAAAAATCTTATTGGCTGTGCATACAGTAGTGTCTGTTTTTGAAATGATTTGTGTTTTCCTAATGTGATCGTAGCAAACAGTTTTGTTTTGTGTGCCTATCAGCCATTTAGAAAGGATTCCTGTAACTTTTGCTTGCTGTTCTTGGTGTTGCAAGACAGGCTTAATCACTTTGGAGTTATTCTCTCTATCAGAATATCCTACATGCTACAAACACTATGTTCAATCCTAAGTAGTATCTTCAAGATGCTACTCTGTTTGAGTCTAAATTGATCACATTTCTGTACATGATTATCCCTTTGACACTGAAAATTAGTTTTGTTCTGCAGCGTTATTTTAAATTTAAAATGTGTTAACCTATCAACAGTTCTACTTTGCATACTGAGATTTATTTGTGGTAAATTTTATTGTGATTCCTTCCTTGCCCAGCAAATAATGCAGTCACCTTGCAAAATATAGTTTAATGCTGTCAATTACTGAATGTCTGTAAGCAGATTGTTTGGATTGTTGATTAAGGAGTGCCTGACTTTCTTCTGACACACCACAATAGCAAAATGCTGTGGAGTGTACATGGAGAAACTGGTGACTGTGATCACTGAAGTTTAGCTTCACTCTGACAAACTATTGGTTTGAAGCTCTCCAAGTTCTTGCAATTCTTTCTGAAGGGAGCTTATTAAATGTGTTCTGTAGCCCAATTAACATATGTTTTATAATATGAGTTTTCATTTATATATTTTCTCAACTCAAGGTCAATGGGAGTTCATCATAATAGCTAATGTTAACTTTTTCCATTTGAAATTGATATAGCTAATTCCAATATTGACAGTGTGAGATGAATGGATAGTCAGTGGGACTCTTTGATCATGACTTTACAGTAAGAAACAGGAAAATACACTTAAAAACAAGTTAGCTTGTAATGGAGTCAATTCATGAAATGCTGGACAGAAGTGTTAGTACTCCAGGCTCTTTTGGTTGGATGTGCCTAACTATTTTACTTAGCATTAAATAAATGCATTCAAATGACTTAGGGATCAAGTGATTCATCACTGTAAATGTTGGCATTGAACGTGAGAAATGCTTAAAGACAGGGTGCTGTTTAGCTCTATATTCTTTCTTTTAGCTCTATATTCTTTCTTTTAGCTCTATATTCTTTCTATATTCTTTCTTTTCTATATTCTTTTGGTAAAAACCAAAGGGAACAAAGTGTCCAAACAGAGAGAAGGTCAGTATAAAATATTCTGAAGTAGAATTGGCACCTGAGTCTTAAAATCTTAATAATTTTCATCTATTTAGCTAGCTAGCTAAATATAGGTGCATAATTCTTACAGTAGTTTCAAAATCTGTTTGTGTACATCCTTGAAAAGTTCTGTATTCTGCTTAAAATACCTTAAGCCATTGTTTTCATCCATTCAAATGAATTATTTTTGTATCATATAAACAAATTATCTTTAAAGTGTTACAGTGTTTACCATTGCCATAGTATTTTTTAAAAACAAGAATAATTGTAAAAAATCTGTATAGTATTAAGTAACTCATTGTACAAGAACCAAATTACTGAGGCGTGAAGAACCTCTAGAGGTCATTATTAGGGATTATGGACTACTTTGGCAAGCAACAGGCCAGCAGCATACTTGATTATTTGTCAGAACGGTCTGTAATCCCAATTAAGATCCTCTCTTGAGAGCTTGCTGATACACATCAGGGTTGTGGCCAAAGTTCTGCAGATGCTTGAAATTCTCTCTGTTTTGTCTGTTGCATCTTTTACTTTGTGACTTCAATTAAATATCTCTGATGATTCTGAAAGCAGTTAAAATTGAGCTAGAGAAGAAAAAACAGCCTTTTGAAGTACATGCATTGAGCCAATTTTTTTCACAAGCAAGTTTTTAATCACGTTGTTTTTCCTTTGGGCTTGTGGACTTAGATTTGTTAGCATCCATTCACCATAGACTTAGTTTTATTTAAAAGAATACTTCCACTATTTTTCTTTGTTTTTTTTTTCTGTTTGTTTTTCCTTCTAAATTTTCATTAGACAACAGGCCATACAGAGACGTTGATCCCTTAAAAAAATTAGCAGGCATGAGTGCAGTTTCCAAATGTGCATATGGACTTCATGGCTCCTGAATTTCTTTGATACATTTTAAAATTTTACCATTTAACTATTACTCCAGGAATGTAATTATCTACTTCAGATTATGTGTATGGTTAAATGTTTACTGACCCTTGTAACGGTAGGATTTATATGCTGTTCAATGCTCTTGTAAGAAAGTTTTAACTCAGGGCATTTTCTAACAAATACCCAGAAGAGAATGTTTGGACCTTTCCTCCAGACTTTAGATCTAATCCATTCTGGAATGAATGAGGCTTTTAGCATGCTTGTCAGACTCCTGTGGATACGTTTGATCTTTGTCAACATTAACTAAAGTAAATCTACTGAATGGAAAAAATCTCTATTAATCAAACCTGTAGCATTGCGTGGAACTTACAGCTATCAAAGTTTGCTTTCTGTTATGTAGGCTGTGTGTGTTTAAAGCTGTATTTAATAGACATCTCTTGGACTTCATTCAGAATTCACTGAAGTCTAATAGGTTTTGGATCATGTCCTTTGTGCACATTTCTTAATTGCTAGTGTGTCTGTTAGCAAAATGTTCTCATTTCCATGATATCAAAAGCAAGTGCTTTATAGGAAGAAGTGTATGAAATCAAATTCCTGTCCTCTCGCTGATAGGTAAAATGAATGCAGGTTAATACTATTGTTCTTTTTTTGTTCAAAGCTGAAAATAGAAAAATCTTAAATGAGGAAAATGTTGAGAACTGTCTCATAAATCTTTTGGAAGTTGATGATGATGGAGTTAAAGTTGCTGCTTCCCAAGCTATTTCTGCCATGTGTGAGAATTTGGCTAGCAAACGTGTGTTTGGACTCCAGGGTAAGTAAGGTGGGAAATGAGAATCTGTGGTTTTCCTTCTGTAAGGAACGTAATTTTGTAGATGATCTTGTTGGATTGTCATGGTTTACTTAAATGTTCATATATATAATTGTTTATTTTTAAGGGATTCCCCAGCTAGTGCAGTTGCTAAGCAGTGATGATGAAGAGGTAAAAGAAGCTGCAGTCATAGCATTAGCCAATTTGACAACAGCCAGTCCTAGTAATGCAAGGTGAGTCTGCAGCAACCAAATCATTATTTAAAACACTAATCTGAATGCAAATGATAATGTTTGGATTTTTAATGAATGTCTCATCTTGTCCTTATCCTACAAAGCAGGACTCTTGAATTAGCCTGTAAGGCCTTCTGTGGTGCTCATGAGTCATCTGGAATTGGTTGGTTCTCATCAGGTTTACAAATGTTATGCTATCCTTGCTAATGTTTGCTCTATCACAGAGAGGTATGAAGCAAATGAAATGAAAGCAGAGGTATAGGTCATGTTTTGGAAAGAACATATGACAAAAATATGCCTCATAATCTAAGAAATTTAAAGTGGGGTATTTTTTTCAAAATTCACTCTCAGTAAGTTATCTTTTAAAATGTGATTGCTCAAGCAGTTTTTTTACTGATTTGTGACAGTTGACATTCAGATATTCTAATATTGGCACTGTCATTCTCTTTTCTATTGCTTCCCAAGTTATAAAGAATGCTCATAGTGCATTCTCTAGAAGAAGTGTACTGTCAGTATCTAAAGTAATTAACAACGGTTGGTTAGTTGACTGTAAGTTCCAACATAATTGTACCAACTAAATTCTACTGTCAGTTGCAGAGTTCTGTTATCCCAACACTATTAAAATTTCTGTTCAAGGAAAAGAAACAGAGCAGTCTGACATATATGAGCAATCACATGTAACCAACAAACCATAAAATAAAATTCCTTAAAAGTTTCCTGGAATATACTCAAGGAAGTTGTAATCCATTCACAACCATTCTTTGAAGTGAAAAAGTAAAATAATGCACCAAATAAATTATTTGTTTCAATTTATTGATTCAGCTCTAATAGTCACCGGTATTCACTTAATGTTGCCAGATGAAGTTGTAATTTGACACAAGGGAATAATATTCTGTTTTCAGATTCACATAGTAGATTTTTTTTTGTCTGATTTTCTGCTCTCCTCATGTGCATGACTTCACTTGGTGTCAGTGGGAGTCACACACATAAAAAGAGCACAGTACTGGAGTCCAGGGGTCAAGCTCTCAGCTCTGCTACAGCTGTTTTTCGTAGTGCAACCCTTTGAGGTTTCACGTTGTGAAAAAGGAATCTCTGGAGAGTTCTGAGTTGGTATAACAGCTTTTGCCAACTTGGTCAATGTGTTTTGCCAAGGAGATAGTCATGACATTGTTTAGCTCAACTGCTAGAACAATTCTATGAGACTTCGGGCAGGGAAGTAGCTGTCTCTGTTCCTCTGAATTATAATTGGGGCTGTTTTTTTTTTCCTGCTGGGCAGTCAGGAAATTGTAAAGGTGGCTTGCATATACTTCTCTCTCCTTGCTATCCAGCTCCAACTACAATATGGAAGCACCAGATAATCTAATCACAGGTCTTCTGTGAAAATCAGGAAGCAATAAGTTACATTAAATATGTATATTGGATGAATGCCATGTGACTATATAATTACTTCAAAGCTTCTTTTCTAAATCAAAACCATTAATAAGTCATAGATGGCTCCAAGTGCGACTGGGATCTACAAATGAATATATAGAATTGAACCCTCAGCTGACAGGAGTTGGTGTAGTTCCAGCTCACTGACCAACTGCCTGGCCCATACTTATTCTGCATTCACATAACTGAGGGGAAAAAAAAAAGTAGTTTGGAAAAAATGCATTGCAGATTGGGTTACCGTACTCATATTATTCATTCCAGAATATTTTGTATGTCTATCTTGTAAATCACTGAAAATAAGTGTATATATAATGAAGATGCTGATATACTTTTAAATGATGTGACCTTGGTGTATAATTATGTTGACAATATTCAGGTCCCAAATTGGACTAATGAGACTAGTGCTCTTTTATTGGCTATGTATTAGATTCTTGTTTAAAAACCCTCAAAGAACATTAAATCATAAAGCTAGTAGTATCAGGAAGACCTTGCAGGGAAAGCACAAGAAAATGGCTGCAGCAGAAGAGAAAACTATTTACTATAAATGTGTTTTCACTATCTACCATCCAGCCAGATCACAAAATTTGTTCTTGTTGAACATACATACTTGTGTTCTGCTGTATTTATTTTTATGACTGTTATGTTGATTGAAGAATGTGTACCTCGCCCATTCATTGTGTACAATATATATTAAGAGAATTCAAATAGTAGACAAAACACTTTTTTTTTTCTGGAGAATCGGTGTTTTTAGGAATATTTGATGAGAAGTTACTTTCCTTATAATATGGGAGAAAATACAAGTTAAAACAATATGTGTACTTGAGGCTCCAACAATAGCTGTCTTATTAGGATAGTCTTTCATTGATTAATAACAGAAGAGCAGCATAGGCAATGGGCAATACTGCTCCCCACTAATATGTATTAACCTTGTCCTCTAGGTGCTTCCCCACAGCAATGAAAGGCTAGTTCTGCACTCCTGCCCAATCAATCCTTTCTTTCTCAACTGAGACAGCTAATAAAGGTGTCAAATATGGTAGAGCTTTTGTAATTAGAACACCTCTTCACAATGTATGGGACAGAGACTATGTTGTCATCTTATGTCAGTCCCCAAGCAACTGTTATTTGGCAAAAATAAGTAAACTGATCAATGACACCAGCCCATGTAGTATTTTAACAAAAGGTCTAGAGCAGAAGAGTCCAATACTAACAATTTTACTGGAGAACATGGATTTTCAGGATGATCTCCACTAGAATACATAAAAATTACTGTAACTTCTAGTGTATTCCATCGTTCAACCTTCTGCTGCATACCTGATGTGTCATGCTTCAGTAGCACATTAAAAAAAAAATAGTCAAATGCCTCATTAATTCAAAAACTGATTATGTCCTCAGATTATAATTTTATTAGAATTTTATCATAAAGTAGGATGGAATTTTAGTTGTTCTGTATATTGATTATAAGGTCTTTGTGAAACAGAAAACACTTGGCAAATAAAAATAAAATTTCAAAGATTTGAAGTATTCTGCAGTTTAGAATCTCATGTATTTATTCTAGCATAAGGTATTTAAAAAAAAAAAAAAAAAAAAAAAAAAAAAAAAAAAGAAAAAAGGCCTGGGATGGTTACTGTGTGCATTGCTCTAAGACCACACTTGTGATATATGCCAGAATTGGTTTCTGTTTCCCTGCTTCTGGGGAGAAAAAAAATTATGTTCAACTATTTGCATCCATTTAAAATTTTGAAATCCAGTACACTAACTTGCATTGTTGAAAGCCATATACAGTTATATATGGATGGCTGAATGCCATTTTATAGAATCCATGGAATCTGTCCTTTTCTGATATGTCCAGGCATCAGGAAATGTAGGTACAGTCACTTCAATGATGTTCATTATGCTCAGATTGAAGAATCACGTACAAATGAAGAAACAGCAGTGCCATCTATTGGACAGAAACACGAGTCATTCTGTGTTACACAAACCCTGCCTTCAGAACAAACGTTTTACTTTCTCTTCTGCCGACATTTTCCTGTTTGAAGTATAACAGATTATTTTTACTCTTTACGTATTTATGGTGAGCTAATCATGTTAAATGTGGATCTGACATCCATTAGAAGTAACAAATAGAAATAAGGTATGGAATGTACCAGTTAGCTATTAGTTAACTTGACCGGCCATTTCCTTCAGTATTGTCTTAGCACAAATGCCATTTCTAATAGCTGCCTTCATAAATCTGGCGCTGTCAGAATGCTGGTTATCTGCTAGAATTACCGCTAAAGGAAAACATCTACTCTGAAATTTGCTGCTTTGTACTAACTAACTAACAGCCTCCATAATATTTGTCTAAAATTGTTTATTTTAAGTGCAAAATTTATAGCATTCAGTTAGTTTGGTCTGGGGGAAGAAAGGAAAGTATGGATTTTCTTTGTCTGTACTAAAAACTGCAGGAAATTGTGGTACCCTTTGGACTGACAATCTGGCAAAATATTTCTCCTGGGGTTTATAATTCGTATCATGCCACACATTTCTTAGCATCCTATCCGGACTCAAGATAGTAAATCAGCAAAGCTTGATGTTACATGATTTTCTAATTCTTGAATTCTTCAGAGGAATCTCTGGACCTATTTATATCAAGAAAACTACGTTCACATAGGCAGCTGTAGGTATTATTACAGAATCTGGATATGTGCTTTGTGATATGCATGAAGATTTCTGTGATTTGTGAGTAGATTGAGAACAGGAAGCTAGGCTGGGAAATCATGGCTTATAGGCAGCGCCCAGTGAGGAGAAAATGTGTTTCTCCTTTGACTTAAACCAATGTTGCATCTATTCCAACTGTAACTCGTTCTCATCTAATGATTCAAAATATGTCCTTAGTCCTCTGTGTGGATAGTGCTCACCTGTAGTGAGAGTCTCTCATCTTCTTAAGAAGAGATTTTCATTGTCCACAGGAGGTTTTATTATTTTTTTTAGAAGAGTTTGGCTGTCAAGGAACGGATTGAAAGACTTGTCCAATTTTTTTGTTTCAGATCTTGTTATTATCATTAAGAAGTAATGATTATTGGCATTAGGTATTAATATCGTTAGATAGCAATCTGTCCTATTAGCAAGTGGAAAAGAGTCATAAATTTTCTCTTTCAAGACTGTCAGTGGAACCTAATTCCCATCAACAGATGAAAATTGAAGAGCCAGAATTCCCTGAGATAATTTATTTACATGAATGCATGTGTTAATTTCTGAGAATCGGTATGAAAATAATCGTAGTATATGAATGCTAAATTTAAAAACAGATGCGGGTAATAATCCGCAGTACAGCTTTTGTATTTTCATTGTTTAACATAAGTTTGGAAGGAGGAAATCAACAATGGAATTCCACTAGCTGTATTGAATAAAGGTAATATGTTTTAACACTGACCCCTAGTGACAAAATTATATTTTTGAGATACAGCTCAGCCGTGAAAAGGAGAGTTTTGTGATTTGTGTTTCTATTTTTCACATTAGTGCCTGTTCTGCTGAGCTCTGTACAAATACAACCAGCTAACTCATGCCATGAATAAATTCCTGTTTTGACG